TAAAAATAAATATGATTAAATAAAAAAAAATTAAATTAAATGAAAATAAAATACTTTTAAGATCACTAAACATAAAATTCTACAAATTTTTTCTTCAACAAACTGTCATTTCCAACGCCAGCATTTCAAGAATTTCTGCACCAACTACCATTATCGTCACGCTTGGCAGCGAAATTAAGCACACGTTCGACATCGTGGTATTTAGAGTGCAATGAATGTGGTTATGAAATTTACGAGCTATGCAAAGCAAGAAAAATAAAAACGAGAAACATAAGCACTTGTATTTACATTTCCACGCATGTTTACGAGCGAAATTGAAAGCAACAGGATTTCAAGTTTGTCGCTTAAGTCTTTTGTTATTTACACGCCCGAGCTGGCTATGCAGTCAAGCAACACTTTCTTTCGCACGCAACTGGCGGATAAGTACAATTAAATTATTAATAGTTAATTTATGGCAGATGAAAGAAAAGTCAACAACAACAACTACACTGAAAGCAAAAAAAAAAAAAATTAGCGGAAAATGCAGAAAGTGGCCAAACTAGTCGGCGTTAGAAATGAAATTAGCCGCTAGTTGTATTCATGCCACCTAGCATAGGCTAATTGTGCTGCAACATAGACAATTTCTAAACTAAGATTTTTTACACTTCCGCTTGGAAAAGTGGCAGCGGGCTATATGCGAGGCATTTTACTAGTTCAGCAAACACTGAGTGACACAAAAACAAGGCTAATGCATGCTGCTGGTGTAGATAAGTGTGAAGGAAGATAGTTTTACACTGCGTCACACAACTTATTTTCCACAAATAACATTGATTTTTATGCAGAAAAAGTTTCGTATAGTCACATCACCAGCATTACGCAATCTTTCTCTGAATTCTTAATCCCCACATGGACACTAGTGCTCAAAATAACTGTCATTCTATACAAAGTGACCACACATAGTGGTAAAATAATTAAGTATAATGTTTACTATAATTATATTGGTGCCTACCTGCGGTCACATGGCTTTGTCGCTTAAGTCTTTTGTCTAACGAACTATGCTAATTAGTGATGAGCGCCAACGCCAACGGTATATTATGCACCATTTCATTAAACAGTTTTAATTTACTACATTTACTGCTAGCTAAATTAAATTGGCGCTTTGACTAGCCGCTCAGCAGCCGTGGCACGCCAGCACGTCAGCAGTTGCCTGCCGTTGGTTCTTATCATTTAAACTAATTGTTGGCCTTTTGCATATTTTAAGCATTTCACCATGCTTGCCTATCGCAAAATACATAAGGAAGTCATCTAAATAAACACTATACCTGCATTGTGGTAAACTGGGCAAAGTAATGGCGCAACTCGGAGGTGACTGTGAGGACAGTAGTTTTTTTTTGTTTTTTTTTTTTTGTTTAATTAATAGTAAAAAAGTTAGAACTTAAAAAAAGGTTATAAATTTAAAAACAAGTTCAAAAAAAAATTGGAAGTAAAATTAAATAAATAAAAATTAAATGTAATGTAAATTTAAAAAATTTTTACACATTTTCAAATTAAGAAAATATTTTTTTGAAGAAAAAAATTCAAATTTTTCAACTTTTAAAAAACCTTTAGAAGCTTTTATGTGGATTATTTTCGACTATTTTATGGCTCCTAATTATATGCTTTCGAATTATTTAAGTTGCATTAACAAAGTTATGGCATAAATTTGAATAGCATTTTTTCAAAATATCCAACAAAAATTTTAGAAGAAATTTTCTAAGTATTTCCTAAAGAACTGTATATTTTAAGAAAATTGCACAAAAACATAAATGTAGGATGCAGCAGTACTAAATAGTGTTGCCTACATTTAGGAGTGACAGTGACAGGAGATAGTTTTTTCATTAGCCAGTTTAGCGAACTTCCTAAAAATTTGTTAATGTGTTAAAAAGCGGGCAGGAAAAGCTGTGTATTAGTTTAGACCACTACAAGATGTCAATATTTTCATCAATGTTCTTTAGTTGACGAAAGGGTTAACTCTTGGACAAATTCCTTACAACCCGTTGTCACTATATCTGGCAGTATTTAATCCACTTAACTGGGCCTAAAAGGTTTCAACAATACCTAAAATTTGGGGCGCATTTCTATCCAGAATTAGTTAATTTGAAATCGATTCTACAAAGACAGATATTCCGTATATGCAAAATATGTAGTAGTACTGTAGAATGCAGCCTACATTTAGGAGTGCGTTTTTGAAAAATATACGACAGTCGGGAACAAACCCGAATTTTTATCCGGCCAAGGACTGTCAACTCGGCACCATTGCTCACAATCGCTTCATGGATGTTTTATGCCGCTAGAACAAGAATATTGGGGGGCCATTTCAATATTCAATAATCAATCTGAAGTCGATTCTACGGAAACAGCTGTTTTGTGTATGCCACCTTTAATATGAGACTGAGAACATTTGATCAACTCTGAATAAATACTGAAAGAATGGGGTGAGAGAAAAAGAGAGAAAGAGATAACTTTACAGAGAAAACGGCAGAGTGAGAGGGAAACCACAAGATAGAAATTGTAAAAGAGAGAGGGAAGGAGAGCAAGAGAGAGAGAGAGAGAGGTGGAGAAAAAGAAAGAAAATAGATTTTAATATGGTTAACGTATATTTTCGAGGCAATATTGTTACCGTTAAAACATTTTCTACTTGTTGTAAACCATCACGAAATTATGGTATAATAGGGAACACTGTGCAATGTTTCATTAAAATTGTGATTGTTGTTGCAGCCTTTAATAAATGGAAGAAATTCATATCTTCATATAGTTCACAGTTCTGTGTTCTCTAATATAAACCAACTGTAGATTTAGTGAATAAATTTTTCCTACTAGGAAATCATTCGCTGACAGCCCAAGGACGCTTTTTAAAACAAAAATTTTATTGAACTACGATTTAACGTATTCACCTACCGATTATACATAGATAAATTTTTATAAATCCGGAGTTGAGTGAGAACCATTTTCCTATGGGCCCCCTACCAATAACATGCAAGCTGACCATAAAAACTGAAATAAATATGCATTTGTATACACATAAGCAACACATAACCGTACATAACGGCCAATCAGCATGCGCACGCCAGCATTGGACACTAGTACTGCCGGTGGCTGCATTAATGACCATGTGACTAAGTAGTTTGGCGCGCCTTAAACTAATAAGAGAAGTGTTTCGCCAAATTAGACGCTTGAAGCACACATTAAGAAGCAAAAAAAACGTAAAGAGGCGAAAAGCACAAATGGACAGGCACGACGAACGACTGCATGAGCCGAAAAGGCGTAACAAAAACAATAGTAGGAGTCGCGCAGTCAATTGTCTTCTGGTCACTGACTATTGACTATTGACTACTGTACAACAACAGCTGTCAGCGCACACGCAGTAGCACAAGTTTTTTGCCTCCGCAAAAAAGTGGCAAATCGGGCACACATCGGGAATGTTGCAAGCGCAAACGTGTTGTGGCAAGGGCCATTTGCAGCGAAAATTAATTAGAAGCGCACCGGCAACGAGAAAGGCAAGGCGTGAGCACTAAGCTATCTGACATTGGCAAGGCGGCGGCGGCGAGTCGATCGAGTTAACTGGTGGGGCACATAGCCGGCCGACACAGCCGTAGCCGGCTGAGTAGCTGAGAGATACAAATAAAAATCTAATTAGATGCTTTTGTCCGCTGCCCACTGTCTGCAACGTGTTAGCCTGGCACACACATACATACTAAATGTGTAGGTATGTGTGGCGGCAGAAGTTTTGTGTGAGCTGTTGGCAGTGATGGCGGTGGCAATGTTTGCGCCTGCGCGCCACTTCAG